GGGGGGGGACCAAGGGCAACATACGTAACCTAAACATCTGTACCCCCATAATATGCTGAAAGAAAAGAAAAAAAAAAAACAAAACAAAGAGGCCTCTGGACCTTGGTTTTGCAAAGCCTAGGAGATAATCCTCACCTCCAGCAGCCAGGGCTTCAGCTTGTGGTCCAGCAAGACGTCAAAACCAAGGATCTCAAAACAGGCACATGTACCTCCACTCAGATATTGGGGAAAACAGGTTCGGTAATTGTGGCGAAGAATAGAATGGGCTGAGATGATGGTTTTGATGATGATGTCCTCGATGTCCCCCCACAGCTCTTGGGGGTCATAGCTGTGCTCTCGTAGCCAGGTGTTGAGTGTTGACAGCTTCCTGTGAGGCCCAGTGCTCAGAGGAAGGCCAGGTTCTATGCCAGTGGGGCCTGGCTGCAGGCAGGAGGCTCCCAAACACCCTAATTCCCTGCCTGGGCCCCTGGGCTTTAAAGATCTACTAGCATCTTGGAGCAGGGATTAGTGATCAGGGTGGAGTTTGGGGCTACACTTAGAGCACCAAAACGCAGGCACAGGAAAGGGTCTATAAAGGCTGAGTTTTCCTGGGCAATCAGCCTCCCAAGAGCCAGCTCAGCTTCATGGGCTATTGATACTGTGGGGCTAAGGGGCAGAGGAAGCAGGAGAAAACAGTAGGGAGTACCTTTTACTGCCCACAGCATCATCCCGGACAAAATTCTCATTGTGTTTGTTGATAGCATAGTTGGTCAGGTGCATGCAGACATTATCCTGTGAAGAGAGTGGCCCTGTGGTCTCAGGCTGCTTCCATGCAGCCCTCCTCTCTAGCCCTCCGTTGCCTTTTAATTGCCCGCCCCTCCCCAGGATTGCCCATCTCCTGTCCCTCTTCACCCGACTGTCCTTCTGTAAGATCCTGAGGAAGAGGGTGTGCTGGGCTCCTCTGGGGGATGACTTTTTTGTTGTTGTTGTTAGAGACAGGGTCTCTCTGTAACCCTGGCTGGAGTGCAGTGGCCAGATCATAGCTCACTGCAGCCTTGAACGCCTCGGCTCAAGTGATCCTCCTGCCTCAGCCTCCCAAGTAGCTGGGACTATAGGTGTGTATCACCATGCCTGGCTATTTTTTTATTTTTTGTGGAGATGGGGTTTTGCTATGTTGCCCAGGCTAGTCTTGAACTTTTGGGCTCAAGCGATCCTCCCACCTCGGCCTCCCAAAGTGCTGGGATTACACAGGATTACAGGAGTGAACCACTGTGCCCAGCCCCCCCCTTTTTTTTAGAAGCAGGGTCTCACTATATTGCCAGGCTAGATTCAAACTCAAGCAATTCTCCTGAGTAGTTGGGACTATAGTCACAGGCCATGGGCTAGGTGATGATCTTTTCTCAGTCACCACCCACCAAATGCTCTCCTCACAGCCAGGTGCTGCAGCTCTCACTGGCCTCACTCCTTGTTGTTGGGTGACAATGACAAACCTCTCTCCCCAGTTTCTCTGCAGAGCCTCAGCACTCACGGCAGCGGGAGAGGAGAGGGTGCCGCCCTGCCCCTCACCAGGTTGCTGTGGCTGGGCTCCACGTAGGGCGTGGTGGCAAACCGGGCCAGGCCCTCCTCATACACAAAGATCCGAAGAGGGTCACAGGACGTGATCAGGACGTAGATTCGCATGTCAAACTTGAAGCCATCAATGAGGAAGGGCTGAGAGCACGCCAACCCGTGAGGGAATAATAACAACACGTTTGAAATGCTTACTGTGGGCCAGACACTGCTGTAAGTGCGTCAAACACATAACAACTCACTGAATGTTCTCAGCAACCAGGTAAAGTGGTTCACTGTTATTATTCCCTCTTAACAAAGGAGAGGAGGAAACAGGCACAGAAAGGGCAAGAAACTTGCCCAAGGTCACGTATCTGGGAAGTAGAAAATCTGAGGTTCAAACCCAGGCAGGCTGGCTCTGAACCATGGCTCATCCTGCCTCCAAGGTACCGGGACAGCAGAAAGGGTAGGAGCCTAAAACTGGCTTCCTCCCAGTGCTGGGGCGGGGGGACGGTGGGCCTGAGGCATCCTTCACCTTGGAAATGTATTGCTGGCAGATCATATGCTCTCCTGGCTTGATCTCCCGGGGATTTCGGGTGATGAAGATGCCACGTCCCTGACAGCCACTGTCTGGCTTGCAGATATAAGTGCGGGTTTTTCGCTGACGACCATAGGACTGGAAGTCCCCGTAGCTATGTGCAGAGAGGGGCCGGTCAGAAGGTTTCTGTGCACCATGGCTGTCCCAGGGCCCCATGGAGATCTTCCTGCTACCTAGTCCATGCTCTTCCTGGAGCACTCAGTCTCAGACCCTCTTTGCTTTGACCAGCTGAAACTGTCGTCCCACTTCCATCCCTCTGAGACATTCCTAGGTCACAAGACCAGAATCTGGAGGGAACTCAAAGAGCGGCCCCTTTCCTCCCCACAGTATGTCGGCACGGGGAGGCCAGGCTCACTCACTCTGCGGGGAGGCACCAGGTGCGGGGGAAGATGTTGTACTCCGTGGGGTAGAGTTTCTGCATGCGGTTGAGGTTCCGAGCCAGCAGATCTTTGCGGCAGATTTCTGTCATGCCGGGGAAGTGGTTGATTTTCTGAAACGGAGCCAGCTGGTTATACTATTCCCCAGAGTGAGTGGCAGTTCCTAGGCCCTGGGCAGCCCAGGACGCAGAGGCGAGGACTGGGAAGGCTAAGGGAGAGGTGACAGTGGAGGTAAGCACTGTTCCCTAGCCTGACGGTGAGAATAGGAAGATCCCCTGAGGCCTGCGAGAAACCCCTCTGTGGCCTCCACCCCACACACATCCACACTGAGGTCAGCAAGCAGGCGCAGCGAGAGGGTGTGCGCTAGCCGGGACTCCGGCCTTCCAGCCACCTTCTAACATCCCTCTCACCTCCAGGACTAGTCCTAAAACGATCACTGATGCAGGAGAGCACAAGCAAATAATGAGAAGAAAACATTTCCCAAAAGACAAAAAGGGAAAAGAAAACTAAGAACTGGCCCCAGGGAGTGCAGGGCCATGGTGCCTGCCGGGGGCCCCTCTGCTGTCCTGCGTCCCCTGATGGCTGAACTGCTCTCTCCTGGCGCTCCCAATCTCTGGCTGACGAGCGGTGTGAACTTAGTATTTGAGCCTTGGTGTCCTCTTCTTCTTCCTTTTTATTTTTGTCTCCCCACCGCCATTAACAAAGGGACATCTGTGCTCAGGGCTGTTCTTGAGGGTTTCCTGAGGTGACAGTGTAAAAGCGCTTTGCACAGTGTGTGATGCATAGTAGGCCTCAGTGACTGCTGCTAAGTATTGTCATCCTCATCTTGCAAATGCCCTGTGTGCCTCTGCTCTGAAGCTTCTTGAGCACTTCTAGCACTTTCTCTCTTGGGCACCTCTCCCAAGACTAGTTGTGGGACAGGTTACAGTCTCCTCAACTCCCTGCTTCCTGACTTCCCCCCAAAATAAGCCTGCATACCCCTTTAAATTATTTTATTGCCAATCACCACAAACACCCAATTAGAGGACAATAAAAATACCAAGAGGCAGTTACATTCTTCTTGAACAGCCTGGTCTGTCTTTCCCGACTCTCTGGCTGCCGGGCAAGCCCCCCCCGCACTGTCGCTTACTGCACGTGGAACGCCCAGCCCAGTTGCTTAGAAGGCTGGATCACTCCGCTGGCCCTGCCGTGAGCTCTGAAGCTGCCTCCCAGTCTTTGTCCCCAAGATGGGCTCACCCACCCGGAGAGGCTCCGCTAGACACAGATGCCACCAAGTAGAGAACAAATGATGAACAAGGATGTCTCACCAAACACTTCCTTCAGATAATGAACTCCAGAGACCCAAGAGGAGAATATTTCTTTTGGAAAAGAAGACCCTGGGGGTGGTCTTTCCTGTCTGCACAGGGTACAGCCACAAAGAGCAGCAGTCTCGGGTGCCTAGGCGAGGGGGCGGGAGTAGTCATTGGGGGCCTCAGCCCCTTTAGGCACTTAGGCCAGGAGATCGGTACCTGAAACCTCTTCATGTCCATGACTCGTTCCAGCGAGACACAGCAGTCTGTCCAGTACACAGTCCACTCTTCGTCCTCCCCTACCTCCTTCAAGCCACACACTTGCGCTGCCCGACGCACTGTAGAGACAGGGGGGTCAGTGGTGCCAGCCTGGGCACCAGCAACAAGCCCTGGACCTGTATGGCCGGGTCAGGGAGGAGACAGACCTGACTGGAGAGCAGGTTGAAGAGGGAGGTAGTTGTCACCCCAGCTCTTCACTCTCGTTACCGTGTGGCAATTCCAAGTTCGCAGGGCTGTCAGGGCCCTTCCGTAATATAAGGCAGAGAAAACTAGAGCCTGGCTTTCTGCTCCTGTCAGTCCTGTGGCTCAGTCAGGACTGTTTATGGCCTGGAGGGCTGACCAGGTGGGTGGGGGTCACATTGGCACCTCATACTCTCAGTGGTCCCATGCACAGATGCCAGAGTGGATACAAGGGAAAGAAGGAGACAGCTGACCCAGCTGGCAAGTTTTTTAGAAAATTGCTGAAGCCCCTTCAAAACGTCCTTGAAAAAACTATTTTAACCTTGTCTCATCTCTGGTAAAATCTGGGATGGGTGGGGCAACGTGGCTCTAGGATATTTTTTTTTCTTGTTAGCTAACTGTGGCGATACCCTCCCTGCCACTGAGACTACCTGGAACAGCAGTGTCTCCGCTGCCGGTAGCTGAGCCCGAGCACACCCAGGAAGCTCAGTACAGGCCAGCGCCAGCCTGACAAGATGCAGGGGCTGGGAGCCTGAGTGCAGGCCCACCCCCAGAGGAAGAGCAGCAGCTGTGCACAAACCCTCCTGTGCACAATCGTGTGATGACGAGCTGGGTGCTTACCACTCTCATACTTGCAGTTGGTCAGGTTGATGGCCAGGGGTCTAGAGTGGAGAAATAACATAAATCAGGCAGACAGGAAGGGAAGGACAGGCACTGTCGAAGAGATATCCAGCAAATTCACAACACATTTGAAATTCCAAACTGACCCAGCCCAAATGGTTCTGAACTTTGTTTTTGCTGTATCAAAAGGTTAATGTTGATCCAGCATTTCTTCTCTCTCGCAGCCTAAAGGGAAGACCTTAGATCCCAGCCCCCAAGTGCTGAAGTGAGGCCGGGGGGTGACTCCCTGCAGCCTTACAGGTGAGGGGATTCAGGGAATCGTTACCTGCGTTTCCGCCTTCTCTTTCTCTTCCCAGCTTCTAAGTCATCTGTGTCAGTTGGGGCTATGATTTTCTTTGGAATTTTCTTGGCTATAATGGATAAGAGAACCCCATTCTCAAATGTCTTACAGTCAGCCTTTGGGAATGCCTGCTGCGAAGGCTTAGAAGGGCTGGTAGCTTCCTCTTTAACACACTCTTCCTCAGATTCCTCTTCCTCAACATAGTCTTCCTCCGATTCGCTGGCCTTACAGGTACTCGGTTCCATCCTCTTAGATTCTGAGGGGAGGTGGGTAGGAATGAAGTATGTATCAGACCTCCCTCCAGGCCCAGGAAGGCCTGCAGAGGAATCCACCCAAAGGACCTGAATTCAAGGTATTATAAAGGAATGATGCCGCCCTTCAGAACAAAACAATTCCATTGCGGAATGGGATGTTTCCAAGTAGGTAGGGGGTGGGTGGGATGCCTGTGAGATGTGGATTCCCTGACAAGCCCCAATCATCCAGAATCACGATGGATCATACAGCACACCGGGGTGCATTCAGGAGTTGGATACAGCTGGCAGAGGCCATGACCAGGGCTTTTTTTGTTCCTGAATGGGAAGGAGGGCGGCTGGGAGCGCTGGGGTGACCTTTGCTTTAAAGCATAGCTGAAGGCTGGGCGTGGTGGCTCACGCCTGTAATCCTAGCACTCAGGGAGGCCGAGGTGGGAGGATCGCTTGAGCTCAGGAGTTCGAGACCAGCCTGGGCAAGAGCGAGACCCTGTCTCTACTAAAAATACAAAGAAATTAGCCTGGCAACTACAAATAGAAAAAATTAGCCGGGCGTGGTGTCTCACACCTGTAGTCCCAGCTACTCTGGAGGCTGAGGCAGGAGATTCACTGGAGCCCAGGAGTTTGAGGTTGCAGTGAGCTAGGCTGATGCCATGGCACTCTAGCTCGGGCAACAGAGCGAGACTCTGTCTCAAAAATAATAATAAAATAAAATACAGCTGTAGACCAAAGGTCCCCTAGGCTGGCTTTCTCCGACCCAGGACTCAGAGTCTCCATGTGTACACCCTGGGGCCAGGCACCCAGTGGGTAAGACCCTTTGGGCTCTGACGGCGAACACTGCCCACCCGAGGTTCCGAGGATAGCTGAGGGGCTGCGGGGTCCGCCCCTAGCGGCCTGGGGCTGAACTCAGCTGGTCGCTCATGTCCGCCCTTTGCCCGGCTCCCGTTCTCCCCGGGCGTTGCTCGGCGTCCGGGACGGCCTCCTCGTTTCTCAGAACTGGCTGTCTCTGCCGATCGCCAGGGGGAGCCCGCTCCCCGCCGCCCCGGGTTCACTGCTAGCTCAGAGATCCCGGGGGCGGCTGCGCCCACTTAAGCAAGCTAGCTGCCGCCGCCGCTGTCGTCGCCATGGACACGAGGGCGCTCGCCCCCATTGGAGAAGCGTTCTGGGGGCGGAGCCTTCCCGGGAACCACACCCACTTGGGCGCCGGCCGAGGCCATCTTGGGTGGGGCCGACAGCGCTCGCCCTAGGGAGTCGGCGGTGTCAGCGCAGGGTACTCCACGCCCTGGAGGCCGGTTTCTTCCGGTGCATCATGGGACTTGTAGTCCTCCCGCTTCGAAGCCAGTTCTTCCCGCCCGCACCCAGCCCCGTATTTCCCTGAACCCTCGGGCCAAGGAATTTGGCCAAGCCTATGTCAGGACAAATAACTGTTTGCCTTTGCTCATTTTTTTAGTAACCGTGCCATGAGCACAGTGTCTGCACTGGAGAGGGACAGCCGTGATAAGACCACGTGCATTCCAAGGTTGCCCCCTTAGTGGGCTGAGACAGCTCCATTAACTAAGGAACAGAAAAAGCGCCTTATCTCAGTACTCCTTCATTGTCACCTCCTCTTCCCGACATCATCCTCTGACTTCTGCTCGCCACCTCCACGCAACTCAGCCCAACTTGTCACTCTAAAATTATCCTGTGTGGCTAAATCCAGAGGACACAAGATTTTTCGATCCTTTGAAAAGATATGGACATTTTTAGATTCACAGACTTCTTGATTTTTCTTCAGCATATGATACTCTAATATGAAATGCTCCTCCTGGAAATGCTCTGGAGTCCCTTGATTTCCAGGACACTCATTGTTCTCATCGTGTTGACAGATATTAGTGTTCCAGGCACTGTTTTCGGACCTGAACTATCATTTCTTGCCTAAATTGCCACCATTCAGCAACTTCTTAGTTGGATTCCCTGATTATATTCTTCACTCCATCCACCCTCCCCACTGAAGCCTGAGTGCTCTTCCTTAAAATTCAAATCTGCTGCTCTGCAATTTAGTATTCTTCCAGGTTTCCCATTAGGTCAAGTCCAAACCCCCTTAGCACATGAGGCCCTGCTTCTAGAGGCAAGCCAAGAGGTGGCAGGCCCTTGACTTTGTTGGCACCTCCTTCTTTTTTTTTTTTGGAGACAGGGTCTCACTCTACTGCCCTGAGTAGAGTGCCATCAGCCTAGCTCACAGCAACCTCAAACTCCTGGGCTCAAGCAATCATTCTGCCTCAGCCTCCCGAGTAGCTGGGATTACAGGCATGCGCCACCATGCCCGGCTAATTTTTTCTATGTATTTTTAGTTGTCCAGCTAATTTCTTTCTATTTTTAGTAGAGATGGGGGGG